GCCCGTGTGACACTATAACTCCATACTTAATAGCATGCTCACCGGCCTCGACTACATAACGCTGAAAATGAACAAAGAAGCAGGCTGGCAGCCGCTGCATTTAGCCGCCCCGCTAAAACAGCAGTTACTTAGCCGCTGACACAACAGCCGCTAACCAAATTCGAACTGCTCTGGATAGTGTAACCGTTCCAACTGCATTCATCATCAAGCCAAGTGCGTGGGCAGAACTCTGACGGGAGAATTGCGCTCCTGGAACCTATCCTCTACCGCATATCGAAGTATCTTCCTTATATCTCCCTGCTCACAGATGTCTCCTAGCCTCGGGTTTTCCTATTCATTTGCTGTTAGATATTAGAGACAAGCACGTTCTGCCTGTGGCCGTTGCCGTCGTCGAAGTAGAGACAATTTGTGTAGAAGTCAACTAAACGGCAACAGGCAATCATCTAATAACCCAAGAATAACCTAATACAACGAATGACTGCACACCCATATATGTACATAGGCAGTTACTTATTCGACCTCGCGCACGTATGAAATAGATAGCTGTTGAAGAATATGCTATCCCAGTTCTTTGGTAATCTACACTATCTATAGACGCTGAATGGTGGATTTGCAGCGATGCAGAAATAATTATACTGATAAATAAATTCAATGCGACGATATGGCGCACGATGAACTTCAAAGGTAAAATACGTAGTACATGGCTGTAGTAGATGTTGTGACGTGATCCTTAATCTAAGCGGTTCAATTTATAAGGACTCACAATGACAAAGAGAACTGTTGCGTTTCAATGATATAGTCCAAAAGCCTGATGAAAGGTACAATTCGCAAGAAAAAATAGTTAATTTTTATATATCGATACTTAAAACTGACAAGTTTTGATTAGTGAGCATATTCAAATTCTCAAAGTAAAACTCACGCTTGCAAAACAAATGACGTCTTGTTCCTGGAAATTTAATAGTAGATCGTGTGAGTCCTGAGCTAACGCGATGAGATGACCCTGGCAGCCGTACAAGGAAATCTGTCATCTGGTTACATCGAAAGGTATGCGTATTGGTGCTATTTACGACGAGTATCAATAAAAAACAAATAAAGTCTATATGAAAACGCGCGTGCCACATCTGCTTGCCCAGTGTTTTCTTGTAATAAGCGACGACAGATTTTCAAACACCGGCAATTATCGAAAATGCACATACTGCGCATTCATAGAAATAGCAAAGGCTCGCAGAAAAATCTAGACTTTATTTTATATAGCGATGATTTCTATATCAGTAATAATATGAATAATTCTACGTAAAAAAATCAGTACTAGCTCTTTAGGTTTGAACGATTTAGTTACTGGTAGTTTTAGTGTACTTGATACTCACTGCGTTCGCTGGATAAAATATACGCGCTTCATCATGAAGCCGCTCATCGAATAGCTGGAATATTTAATTAACGACACCGCGCATCAATTATCCGTCACGCAACGGGCGCGCTTACCCCTTGCTGAACCCCAAATTTTATTTATATTTAGTACGATATATGCACACACGTAGATGGTAACGATCGTATAAACATGTATGAATTCTGAACAAAGCAATGGCGATGGATGCCGCTGGACTGATGGCAAAAATCAATTGTTCATTTATATCTGTCATTATGTAACGCGGATGCTGTGTACACATCTAATAGAGGAGAATGCGTTGGCTGGTCAGGCGATACCGTTTGCTTTGCTAAACATAGAGCTTTCCTGTAACAATGGAAATACTAGTCGACGAATCATACTATTGCAACATTATGCGTGAACTCTGGAAAATTTGAAGGCTTAATGATATTGGCATGCAACGACTGCGACTGGACGGTGTGTTTACTTTAAGTTTGAATAGAATAGAACTTTTTAATAATATCTTCGAGTACTGTCATTATTTTCTGTGATTGATGATTAAGCGCATAGACATAGAGCGAGTGGAGAAGATAGTAATCATTATTCAATCGTCTCAGCTAGCTACGATGCGACATCATCATTCTTCTTCTTCGAAGATGCAGCAGGCGTGATAACGCTTTCACAATAGTATTCAATGTATTTTACATTCAGTCGACAGCATGGACTATCTGGTGCTGAATTGCATAATACCTGCATGATATATTTTTCGAATTAGCTAGAACAGTGTTCCGGTTCCGACGTTGAGCAAAAAAGTGTTTTTTGTTTAATGACAAGCCGCAGCACCAACACTGGCAGTCAAAATTTTCGGATACCGATGCGGTATTGAAGAAGCTTGAAGAAAAAGTAAAAGCTAGAGGTCAAAATGAAACATTTAGATAGGAGAATCTAGCTACGTCGTCGTAATTCTAAACCATTAATTGCATTGCAGTCGTGGACTGCTGGTGCTATAGGGTGGTCCGAAGCAGCGTTCAAATCAAGAATCATGTCCGGCTATTGTAACGTGAACTGGGCACGCACGTTGCGTCTGTGCTGCACGTTTTCCCGTAAGCGTTTCTTAAAAACTTGAACAAGGTTCAATCTTTTCGTATGTACATATAGCAAACTGTCTAGGCTGTTCCCCTTCTTTGAACACTGCTCAAGCAATGTCTCTCGATTAGACATGGTGCGGGTGGATGAACGGCAGCATACGATATGGTTTATAAGCTCGTTTATTGGATAGTGTTTTTTGAATTACTACGATCTATATCAAGATGATATGCACTGAAGTTTCTTCACACTTTTAGAACTTTTATTTTACATCTGTACAACATATATATATATATATATATATACATATATATATATATATATATATATATATATAAACCTCTGCAACGAAGCCTACTTATCTTTTAAGTTTTCTGGTTGACTAATTTTGATTGTGGTGTATATTATTTTTACGTTTCAAGCTAATTCGCATAAGAAACTCAACAACCAATAATGCTTGCAATGGTCGTTACGTTTATGGCAGCAAGTTCGTAATCAAGTTACGAGTCTATTTCAACTGTTGACGCTACTCCCTTGTCGGACGAACGTTTCAAGTTGTTTTGATATTACGATGGCTTAATAATCCCATGCCTTATATGTTATGTGGCGTTGCGATGTTACAATCGTTCACACAGACGACTTCGGGAAGGGATCTTATTTTGACAAAACCCATTAGCAACTAAACTGGTTGCTAAATAAGAAAAGTTAGTGTATTTGAAGACAATTAGCAGGATCTTAAGATTCGAGTTGTACATTTGGCGCCGCCGTAGGCACACTTAATTCCGTGCTTGGAGCTAGCCACCTGAAGGCTCGTCTAATGCGATACTGGACGTAAAATTCAAAACGTTTAGTATAGGGATTTGTTTTTCCTGTTATTATATATAAAACATTTGCACCAAGCATGAATACGATCTAATCGTACACACTCCTTTTGTGGTACTTAACTGTCGTAATGACAAAAGCACATCGGCCGCATGGTGCAGAACACCGACAATATAATTGACTCAAAGTGAGATAGCTAAGTGCTGATCTATCATAGTCCAAAGAGAATATCCACCAGGAAAGCGCTACGAGACTTGCCAGACACGTACATATTTGTTGCGGCATTTTTTACCTTAAGGATCTGTAAAATCTAGCGTCTCGAAATCAAGGATCTAGCCAAGTTTTCTCACCACAGTGCCCCTTCTCTGCAAACACTCTTGAATACATTGGCACCAGTGATGTGCATAGCGCGTTTTTATCGAGTGTATTTATGAACTGATTTTTATAATTTGAATTAATTGAGCACCTATTCAAGCTATTTGTTGATGAATACTCTATGAATTGCAGAAACAATGTCCACATAAAAATCAATTGTATCACGTGCCTAGTGTTAAATTGTACATGTTATTAGTGTCCTTTGCCAGAAAGGCCATAGCGTTTTTAGGCCATACGAGCAATACAACGATTTGTGAGCCACGATAGGCATAAACCTTTCAAATAGACAGTAACTACGTTGTTGCGAAGCCTGAAGCTGAGCTTTCATGATCGTTAAAAATAACTTTCAATGTCTTGGCTATACATGTAGTAGATCACATTCAAACACATCAGTTCAATTAATCGATGACAAACTGTCTTTAATTGGGATCGACTAGAAACAACTATAGTCTAGTTGCCTCTATCAAGTTATATTAGTGCTCTGGTCACTATCTTTTTCAGCTTGAAATTTATTTTGATTTTTAGTTTATTTATACTTTTTATTTTTCGAAAAGAAAAACATCCTTTGTTTTAAGTCTAACAGTTTTTGAACAATGAGAGAGAAGTACTTAGTAGTTTATAATACTTAACTCCACGCAAAATCTCTGGCCAAACTAACTGGATGATTTAGACAGCCCATACATTATGACAAACAAAATTTCTATCCAATAGAAAACATCCGATTAACAACTTCCCTTCCAAACAGTTGGCTTTCTTCAAACCTAAAAAACCAGATTTTTGTCTTCAATTTATTCTTCTGTTGAATTTAAAAACTGTTTCAGAAGTGCGGATAACGGAATCTTTGGCTAAAACAGCTGAGATATGGAAAAGAATTCGATCCGCGTACGAGACGATTACTTTGAAGATGACCTAACTTTTGCCCTCTTATGGACATCAAAGCGAATATGTAAAATCATTGTATTGGTACTTAACGTTTCAGATCAATTTTTCTCGTTAACCGACCATTTGTCGACGTTGGAAATGAAAAAAAAATTTGTAATGGTATCAGTGAAAGACGACCTGAACGGCTAGCATGCCGCTTGAGTGGCTATATTAATTTGCAGAAATAGCTGTTAAAAGAAAGATACTTTTTTTTTAGTGTAGATACTTTGCTCTTCTGAATAATCTTTGACAACGTTCGTTGCAAGAGAGACTTACTTATAATCAGTCAGCCTTGAATAGACGGTCTCCTATATATTTATATATACAATGTACAGAATATATCTGTATTTCTATGTATACAATATGTAGAAATACAAATCTAATATATGGTTCAACTTAACTTTTTGAAGTAATAAGTGCAGTGTCTTACCAATTCATTGTCTCTATTTTTGCACACCGAATAATCCAACGCACACGCTACGAGGAGTAACCATTTCATTGTGGCACGGAGGCTATCAGCCAGTTTCACCGCTGGACCTGCACCTGATGCACCACAAACAACAGCTGATTACACTGTTGAAGATTTTGTCAATAGAATAAAGCACAACAGATTGGCCCTTTGAAATATTTTTTTTTCTTAATATTTGAAATACCTCCCTTCTTGTTTCTATGAAAGCACGTATTTTCTTGAGGTTTATCACCAAGTTCACTAATGCCAAAGTTGTACACCCCGACGGCACTTCGTTTTATCTTGGTCGATCCAGTTTTGAAAAGATCTCAACAATCTAGCTCAGGATCGGGCCAGGTCATGTGGCAGCGACTCAATCCCTCGTGGAGCCTTCTGTCGCTAACGGCGAAGCGTTGGTGACTTTTGGCATGGAGAGAGGGCCAGATCCGCGCGCGAGCGTTGCGGCAGCGGCTGATCGTTTGCTAGCGCGATTTAGGGGCAGCAGTAGCAGTCATAGTAGCTGTATGGTGGGGCTATTAGTACTAGTAGTACAAAAAATAGTGCGAACAATAACGGCACAATGACAGTACACCTACTACCTTACCCATCTGACGGCTTGAAGGCATGAACGATTCGCACACGTACATTGAGATGCTACTTGAACAGATTGCTACAGCAGGGAGAATCACAGAATCGAAACTGACGTTGGATCACTGGGGAACGGGCGTCACCTGGCCCCTGTTGACGAGTGGTCAAACGTGATCGTTTTATTGGTTTTAATAGTTCTCAAATATGATTTATCTGTTACCACTATCTCTCAATAGTTCTCGTTTCATTTAATTAGTTTCTGGTTGAGGCGGCACACCGGATTACCTCGACATGTGCTCCTTTATTTACGTAACTCCATCGCTTTTACCTAAAGCTGTATTTGAGAGCAACTGCTAATGGCTCGTACTAATATCTAAGATCGAGCCTCTGCTAAAGAGAGATATTGAAACGACGATGGGTCGACACTGGCGCGGCTCATCGAAAAATCGAATTTGCTGACAGCATAATAGCATAGTAAAAACAGAAGAATGCATTGCACCTCATACCACTGAATGGACGTATTGTTGCATCATAGCGGCCTAGTAAGATGGATGGTCCTGAAAGATGAGCCTGAAGGTTGTTCTCTTCAAACACAAGCCATGTTCAGAGACACAACGGCGTTGAACATCCGATTGGTTAGTACAATGGAAATATAGCCCGCGCGTTTACCAACAGACAGTGCGAATTATTGTTGTACGACATGGCTGATTGAAACAACAGTAACAAAAGCAACAGTAGTCATTCTAGACAGGAAGTCGACGAATATTTGGCAAATCCATAGCGTATTGACTATTAATTATACGGGGCCCTTCGATCGTTGTTGTTTGTCACAGCGGTAGCTCGCCCAACGCCCAGAAGGCGTATCCTAGCCGTACATATATCCATACACCCGGTAAACGCCATAGTCATTGGTGATTACCGATGTGGAAGGCGGTCGTCGTTTTTCGTTTTCCATTTACTGAAAAATTTACAGAAAATATCCATAGATACTAGATGGCTTTTTTTTTTTTTTATCATTCAACAGTTTAAATTTGTTTCTACCCGCTGTGTAACGTGAGATTACCAATCATTGAAACAAAATCGTTGGGACTTCTCAATCACATATCACACATGAAACTTATAGTATGTATGCAGGAAATCGTTGATAACAACATGTAGATAATGGGCGTCATTAAATACCTACATATATGCATACGAGCTAGAGAAAGAAAGGTAAGGAAGTAGATCGTAATTCTGGTGGCGATTCTTAGCAAATGTTACGGTAGGTGTTTCAACAACGTCTCAGCGCCATGTTGGAATAAGTAGTAGATGGCAAAAAAGGAAGCAACGTTATATTTGCACAAAAGTGAACAATTCGCACGAGGTATATTACCCGAATGATCGTTTGTGCTGCAATCGCTAAATGCTGTTTCACACTGGAATGAGCTCCAGGTTCTTTTTTCTTTTAATTTATAATGTTTAGACAGTAACTGGTCAGTTCACAGTTGATCAACGTTGAATCGTCGTCCGAGTCGTTCGTTTTTGACCACCTCAATTCTAAGTCCGTCAGTGTCTTTATTTAGATTAAATCGTACATAAAATGTTTATTATTATAAAACGTTAGTTTAACTAACCGCGAAACGAGCTCATACCGTTAGATTTACAACTCCATGCTAACTTCTAACAGGCGTTGGGAGACAATATCCTTCTAATCTGTCCATCTGATTGTTTCGGATAAATACTTCGAGCAGGACACCACGAATTTTACCATTAATTTGGACTTCGTAATAGTCAAGCTTCTACAGAATTAAGCGCTGTGCAGAATGCTAGGACCTAATCAGCAATACCGAATCTCTAGTGCTGAATTTATTTATATAGATATAGGTTTAGGAAACCTTTTAGGCACGCAAGTTCGATGGTCGGTAGCCAGCGAGTGCTGCAAGTGCCGTATCCGCTTATGCAATGCTATATCCCCTCTTCACCCAAAATGAATCCAATCAGTTTAACGCGAAGCGTCATATTCCTCCATGTGCTAGTAAAATTATCAATACGGTAACGTTAGCTACTGATTTCTATGTCTGTTGATCTTCTTACGTTTGTTGTTGTATTCAAACTGTATCCTCATAACATGTACCTATTACACATTCTTACTACCACAGATCAATACCATTACTATTATTAGTGCAACATGTGGAATTTGTTGTCGACGTCATTAGTGCCACTCGTAAGAAGGCGTCGTTACGTTGGACCTTTACAGCCCTTCAGAATCGACGATCTACGTGGTTAGGCTGATTGTCGTCGAACTGAGAAAGTTTTTGGCTAGAAACTTCCCAGAAATTCTTCGCACAGCAGTAGCTATAATAAAGGTACAATGCCGGTCGATACATAACGGTATTTCAGATTTGTCGTTCGAACGGCACTGTTTCTGCATTTCTATATTTACGCATGGCTCGCAACGACCCCATGCTTCACCGGCTCTGCGCTTTTTGTCATTTGCCGTCGCGGGCGTACCTTTCCGTTTAGGTGTATAAGGGCACGTGAAGTTGATTCAACGCCGGACTAGTTTTCTTAGTTTTCGTAACGTAATGCTCCACATTAGGTCAGTGGTTGGATAATTGGCTGGTTGAGTAAATCGCGAACCGTTGCGATGTAAGCGATAGGACCGCAGCTGTGTGTGTGAGCGCGTGTGTCCGTTCAACGATTCACGCATTACGGCGAAGCCCATACAACTAACGTAAAGGCTTGCGTTAGCAGGTATTCTAGAAATGCGTGAACGATGACGAACACCGGGAAAAACGTCGAGATAAACAAGAAAAGCGAGTTCGACACGAACGAAATGATGAGTCAGTCAACACCATTCCACTAAAAAACCCGGCGCCATCTTGCGGCGGCATTTCATACGAGCAATACTCGTAATTTGATTTCTGGCCATTTGTATAGGCCAGCATAGTGAAATGAACGACAGGACTAGGGGAAGGGTTCCCCGGAATCCGACTCACTTAATCACTTTGCGATAGCTGAACCATGGATCCAATAAACATGACTGGCAGTCGTTAACAGTATCAAAACGTTGATTGTAACCAAAAATATTGTTCCAGTTGCTATTTAATGCTTCACATTACTACTTAGGATTGTTGAAAACATAAGACTACTCACTTGTTCGAATAACCTGATCATATGTCTTTCATAACAACACTGGCCCCCACGAACGCAGTACCTAAGCTGCCCACTGCTGATAATTTCGAATTTTTCGAAAGTACAACTTTGCGTTGCAAATAGTGCTACAATAACATCATTGATCTGTCGCCTCCCCTATCAGAAGGCATTGGAATTCAAAAGCGATTTGAGTAGTAACTGATTTAGGTAAACCTGATCGTTTGTTGTATAGAATAGAATGAAGCAAGCAGTGTTGTACAGTATTCGTTACGCCATTTAAGTAAGATTGTCAGGCCCCATAAGCCTTACAGAGCTTCTTTGGTGAGAACTACCGTTTCAGATGCTTATGGTGCACGTTTAAGTTCTGTTTTCTTATACTGTTACGATTTTGTCGATGAGAATATAAACATACTCAGGACTTTATGTTCAAATCATTGCTGTTTATGTAATAACACCATGTACCATTAAATAAGATTAGCTGGCTTGCCTATCTAGACGCATCTGGCCATAAACAGGAGACTTGAAAAGCGTAAGTTCATGTCGGTAAACAAGGACGCCAATGGAAATTAGTTTAATAGCCTACCATAGCAGTTAGAAACTACTCGAAAAAAAAAAAAAACGCTATTACGAGCAAGAGAAAATAGAAAAAAGTAATTTCGTTCATCCAAAAGTTCAACAGATTTAGGGAAACGTGCAGTATAACGTTTCATTAATATGCTGAGAACAATTCGACTGATGTACCATGATTGTTTGTTGTGCGGCTTTCACTTAAGTTCATTAAATAGTCCACCTAGTTCAGTTTAAACTTCAATTATAATAAATTTCAGTCGTTCTCCCTCCGACTCTAACTATCTCTAGTTGATGCTTTTTTAGGTATCAGCTTAAAGCTTTTTGTAATCTAGGTAAAGATATATCTTTCTATTTTATATTACTATATTAAATATTAAAATAATACAATATCATATTATTAGTGATATTGTCTAATTTCTAAGGAGATATTTAAAGCTTAATACGTTTGCCTAAGTTTTAGTTTCGATTTAGAGAGACAATTTAGTGGTTGTCGTGATACAGTTTCAACAATATCGAGGAACCTGTTTCGATGCTATACGCATAAAAAGCGTCTGTCTTTACCTGTTTGAATGATATGGAGTATCTACTTTTGATAACCAGCCATGCTCCACTCGTATTGGCTACAGAAGAAAATCTACGAATAATGCTTTTTCAGGGCAGCTACACGACAATGCAATAACATGCTATCAATATCCTCATAGCTACAGGCGCAAGTCGGAAAATTCCAACTATTTAGCATTACGAAAGCTTGTTCCATCGTAGATATTCAACACAGGTCTTTCGAAGCGTTTAGTTGATATAATACACTAACCAGTCTACCGACTAGGCAACTAACTGGGAAAATAAGTTCTTCAGACGAATTCCAATCTAGGCTATATCACCCACTGTACCAACACTACCGACAAGCATACACTGACCCGGGACGAGGGGAAACCAGTGTACAAGGAGATGCTATGAAACCACCGTCACACTGTCGTCGACGCCAGTTGAATCCAGTATGGTGGCAGCTGCCCCCGCGCCGTCACTCGCGTCGCTGATCAACGTGAGTGCTATGATGATCTTCGAAAACACCGATACAAAGCATCCATTGTCATCGACCGGCAACAGCTCTCGACGTCGTCACAGGATTCGTATCTTGTCGGTATCTGGGCACCGCTAGCTTTCTCTTTTTCGTCATTGAATCACCATCATCGGGGACTGGTCGGTCGGTGGGATTGCTTTGGCAGCGCACAAAGTGCGATCAGTTTTTCTATCGCACTTTCTAGGCCCGACCTTCCCTGCTTCGATACGTTTTTTACGTTGGCTTGTTAGATATGAACGAGGGCTGCATTAGTAGCTGATCCCATCTCTGAGGGGGCGGATAGGGAGTAAGCGGGGGTTGAGCCAAGCTAAGACCTGCTGCTGCGATCCAGATGACTGTGACACAATTCGGTAACTTGGTGACAAGCAACTGCCATCTCACCCTCCCTATCTCGTACCTTGGCTAATGCTGCCAAGCGGGGATCAACGATGGATGAACTGAGGGGTGAACGGACGCTACAGACGTCACGGACCGCAATCGTTCACATCACGAAGCAAAAAAACACATCGAGAAACTCGCTTAGAAACACAAACACCGCTGGGCATGGCAGGTCTACTCAAGCACACACGCCCACATATGTGAATACATACACACGCACACTCACTAGTACACTAGTGGAGCACAAAGTCTCACGCCCTGCATAGCCCCCCTTAGTCCCCACCTAAATGATTATTCATATGACGACGTCATGTTATGTAATATATAATAGATCATCGCAGGCCAACATCGCAGGCATCGCTGACTGCCGACCAATGGTGGTGACCAACCCAGCTGCTTCGTTTCAACAGGTAACTGGAAAAAGGGGCGGGGAAGCTCGGTTGATGGCACGAGCGACGCTATCGTAAGTAAGTTGTGTGTTAAGATGAGATGAACCTTCGCCGTATCGTACAGAACAGCTGCAATCGGTATGCAAAGTCGAAGGCTGATGATAGCACAAGCAGGCTAGAAGCCTAGTGCTGGCCGAGGTGACGAAGGCAACACCTTATATGGGTGAGACAAGCATTTTTATAAAGTATATAACGGTATATGAATATGTGAGTAAGTGCGCGTCTGTCGGTGCTGTGATAGTTCTTATCAAATTTGCCTTATAGGTGGAGAATAACGATGTTATCACGTCTTCTCACTTGTACCGGATACAAAATATAAGGTGAAATTTAGGGTAAAACTTAGAAAAATAATATTCATATATGTTCATATAAAAAAAAGACTGCTGGGGGTATATTCGCCGTTTTCGGCATGAGAAGGGCAACTTCAAATGAATGAACTGGAGAATGTTAGTGGAAGAAAAGGGAAGTAGTGACTGACTTAAAAATTATTTAGCCTTGTCTGGTAGTAATGCTCGGTCATGAATCTGATATATCACGAAAGGGGGCGAATTTTCTTTACAACTGCTGTTCTCAATTCGTTTTTGTTGCCAGCAAAGAAAAGCGATCCATGAACTATCAATAAGGTCAAATTAGACATTCATTTAGGATAAATCAGTTTTTCATTGCAGTCCTTACACTGCTACATGTATTAGGTACAGAAAATCATATTCAATAACCATTCGATAGCGACACTTGTCCAAATCGTTACGCCGTCGTTCTTCAAAGCTGTACTGTAAGTGCGTCGTAAAAGGGCATCCGCGATATCTAACAACACGTTTAATCTCTACCATTTGTTTAATGAACAGTTACGGATCTACTTAAGTGAGCTAACTTTCTCTCTTACGGGATCAGGTGATGATCATTGCAGCATGCTGGGACATGCTGGCTCATATTACTTCTTAGTGCAACTAGGTTATATTATCCTCTGATATATATATATATATATATATATCCCTGATGGACGATTATGGATATAAAGTTCCGCTGGTTTAAAACGACAAAGGTTGATGAGACCCTATGACGCGCTTCAAGATAGAATTCAATACATTTGAAGACTTCATTTAGTCTAATTAATTCGTCTAAGCTTGGATTAAGCAGACATATGCGCAAATGACTCTTTCGGGACTGTTCTTCTTTTTTAAATTGCACTTTTTATTTTACTATTGAAGTGTTTCGCACTCCGCCACTTCAACATCTTGAGTTTCAATTCGCCAGCGCTCAAATGGCATAAATAATATCAACCCGTACTAGCTGGCCAAACTCCCTCTCTTTATCTGGGTTTCTGTATGTGTAGCAGTTCTACGGCTCAGTAGGTCGAGCACAATCAACTTGCAGTTGGGCTGAATGAGATGTTCGGTTGAACAAAAAAGAAACGTGGAGTGGCAGAAGCTGACGTAATTCAATTGTCAATGACTGCCTGACGAGGTAGCGTAGCTTCTACGCTAGCTTTACGTCGGCAAACCCGGGAGCGAGGGATAGATAGATAGATAGATAGATAGATAGATAGAATTGGGTATAGGGTGACACCGCCGTTAACAACGACGGCGGAAGAAAAAAGAAATTAAGAGGGCCAAACCGCCGCTAGAACTGCCGCACCCGGCGGCCCACAGCCGATCGATCCGATTGTTATCGCCTCCGTAAAGTATCTACTGCAGTTTGACGCTAAGCTGCGTACGCTGGATTCCAAAGAAGCTAGAAGAATCATGGGAGCTAGCTAGCTAGCTAGCTAGCAGCGCTGTCAGAGGCCGCAGCAGCCGAATCAGTTGCCATTTGTCGGTCAAGCTGAAAAACTGGTCAGTCAAAGGCGACGACAGCCGGCAACAATGACAACGACAAAAACAAAAGCAACAATATCACTAGGCAACTACCCAAGCAGCTGCACAGAAGTCAACACAGCCTCGACAGCAGAATTGTTGG